CAGTATCGCTTTGAACGACGTTTACCTTTGGTATATGTACAAAATGGTAAGTCACTGTTACACTATTTTGTTTGGTTGGTTTGATAATATAGCACTTTGAAAACTTCGTAACACAGGCCTGCAGAAAGGCTTATAACCTTACAAGGCATTACGGTCTTTGAACCGCGACGAGGCCTTGACTTATAAAACTCGAATTGTTTGCTTTAATAGAAATAAGGGTCAGGCTACGCCAATTCAATCTCGCATGTAGCAACAGGCAAACCCAAAATGAACGGACCACGGATTCGATAAATCAAATGGGTTCTCTAGAAACGACTTGACACGGTGAGACAGCAAAGTTTGAATAATGAAAAATTAAATACGGTTTTAACGTTACAAAAATAATTTAAGTAATATGATGAATCATTTGAAAATAAGTAGATGTGGTATAATTGCAAATGAGACAACTCTTCACCAGAGACCAAATGACATAGAAGATACTAAAGGTCATGATACGGACTTCAACAATGAGCAAAACCCATACGACATAGCCAGATATAAAAGACCCCGAAATAACAAATGTAAAACAATTCAATTCAAACGAGAATACTAACGGCCTGATTAATGTACAAAAACATTTACGAACAAAAAATATGATATACAGCAACAAACGACTACCACTGAATTACAGGCTCCTGACTTGGGGCAGGCACATTTAAAATATGGCGGGGTTAAACATGTTTGCTGGCAAGCCAAACCCTCCCTCTAACATAGGACAGTGGTGTAACAGTATAACATAAGAACAAATTATAAAAATCAGTTGAAAAAGGCTTAAATCATTAGATCGATACAAAGCAGAAAAACAACAAACAAAAACACAGACCGTGTATTTATACATCCCTTACAACAAAATAGACATAAAGTACAGATCTGAGAGTATTCGCAGTTACTGACAGCTAGTTCAAAGCCAATAGCAAAAATGAATATTTAGTTTGGTTTTAATTTACTGACCACAAAAGCAATACTTATACCAATAAAACAATATTCAAAGATTTATTAATTGAAGTGAATTGGTGAACTTTTAGAGTAAGTTTATCTAAAGGATCAATAAGTTTACCAAGTTCGTATCTAAATTTCCGGGCTCGGTAAATAATACTTTAGGAACAATTCAGAATTGCTATCCTGTTGGAAATAAAAAACTTACATGTACAGCCTAAATTCCAAACCAAATCTTTTTATTTATAGAATTTAGTAAGAGAGGGGCGAAAGATACCAGAGGGACAGTCAAACTCATAGATCGAAAAAAAACTGACAACGCCATGGCTAAAAAATAAAAAGACAAACAGACAAATAATAGTACACAAGACACAACATAGAAAACTAAAGACTAAGCAACCCGAACCCCACCAAAAACTGGGGGTGATATCAGGTGCTCCGGAAGGGTAAGCAGATCCTGCTCCACATGTGGCACCCGTCGTGTTGCTCATGTTATTACAAATCTGGAAAATAGTCTTATGCGGTAGGTCACATTCGTAGTAAAGGTTTCAAGATTTGAGGTAATGAAATCCCCTACTTAATAATTTACAAGTAAAACATATATTACGTTCATTGAAATCAAAAACGTCACTACAGACAAGGACACAACGAACGAGTTGTGAAACAATAAAATATTGTAAGATGGTGCCAAAGCTGACCAAAAACAAAAAGAAAAATCAGCAATAGGGAACGAAAAATGTTCAGTTTCCCGTGTAGAACTTAAATATCTGAATCTAGGAAAGGACAGTTATTACCGTTTATATTTGATCTACTTTAAATAGGTTCTTTGGGAAAATATCGGCAGCATATTAAGACAATGATTGATTATTTAATGGACAAAAAAAATCATCTAGATACCGTTAAGTGTTGTTGAATTTATCAATTAAATGCAATTTAGACAGGTTTTTACTAAGTTTGGCCATAAGTTGTGATTGATTCATAACAGTACAAGAGCAAGTATGATATTGAAGGGGCACAATTAGTGCCTATAGGAATGCCTACAACCTGTCGATTAACTTTATTGCCGAAACGTACATATCGGTACCTTTTGCACACTATAACCCTATTCAAGAAAATCACTCAAATGAATGTTTTAGTATTAACAAAAACTGCGGTTTAACTTGTCATTGATCTCTAAACTTGTAAGATATTTTCCGTTTACCGTGAATTTAAAAATGGGAATATTTTTGAGAAAAATCAAAGCAAAACACATTTTGGACAAGGAAGAAATTGAGTTAAACTGTGGTGATCATCCAATAGAAAAAGTGATAGCATTTTGTGATACCTGTCAGAAAGCAGTTTGCCTTGATTGTTCTAGAGAATCACACAGAGACCACAAATGTTTCAGCACAACATTTCTAAGTTATATACTCAGATTGAAAGTAAAAAGTTATCCACTTTGGTGGCATCGTTAGATAAGATAAATAACTGCAAATTACAAGTATGAAACACTTATAAAGTTATAAAAAAGATACATAAAAGAGCAAATAAGCTCATGACAATTATTATGGAAGATCGCTTATTATTGTACAAAAAATACTATCAGTTTGTTCGTAGATTTGTAGACTTGTATAACATAGGTCTACAAAAAGCGTACGATTTCGTCAAAAGTACTAAACTTCGTCTACAACCAAATTCAAATCTGGGAACCCAATAAAGAAGAAATAAAATACATGATTGGTCTAGTGACCTGTGACGGCAATACATCCTTAGCAGGTGAATTGGTCGGAATACAAGTTAAGCTGGTACCCTCAGTAACTGGCACGGACCAACCCAGCTTGGTCAACGATTGGTGGAGTCATTTAAAGCAAAGGAACGGAACTCAAGAGATTTGATTTCGGAGCAGAGTTGTCTGATTTTACTATTTCCAATAGAAATGTTATATTAGTAACGGACACAGAGTTACAGATAATGGGATACTGAAGGAAGTTCTCAACACTGCACCATTACAATCACAGGTTATTCACGCCTGTAGGAATTGGGACTTGCTGGTTACACAGATGTATAAAGCCGATCTCAAATATGTTGATAATAAGTGTCTAGTACATCGTCACAGTTAAACTTTTACAATTGACAACCCTATTTTTTTTAATAAGAAACACATCCTTATTCATCGGAGACGAGTGAAACAGAAGTGTAATTGAGATATGATAGTTGTCAATTTATATACAAAATTGCGTTTTCTATATGAAGGTTACACAGGAAGATAAAAGTGCCGTTTGCTGTTTGTTGTGATTCCGAAATAAGGAATTTTTGTTTCGGTTTTGTGCAATCATGAAATTAACGTTCTATGTTATGACGGTCAGTTTATTCAGGATATTCCAACCAATATTGAAGGATTACTTAATCCTATTGCTATTGCCATTGGCAAGAAAGACAAACTTTTGATCGGAGGGAAAGGTGAGAAAATCTTGATAAACGTGACGCAAAAGATAATTAATTGGAATAAGAAGTTTTCTATCTTAAGATGACGTTAGAAAACATTGACATGAAAGTCTGTTAAGAAAATTATGACCAATACTTTAATGGTTTGTGTTTCAAAACGTAAATGTATTCATGCTGCATTTTACCACGACTTATATTTCAATGATGACTTAACCATTTTACTTTTTATTTGTGTTTACCAAATGTTTACAGATAGCAAATTTGAGTCAAACACTCAAATAGCATTTGTGAATGGTACTTCAACTTGATACTCTACCCATTTACTTTGTATGTGTGACACTAAAATTTTCTCACCTTATGCATTTTCTAAATGTAAGTATTGTGTGTACTGCAATTGATATCATTCTTGGCCTTTTCATAGGGATTTGTTTCCAATATACTTGGTCAATCTTTAATTCTATGTGTATTGTTTTAAAACAGTTGTTTGCACGTGTTTCGATGTTTGCTTTTTGGCAATGATGTTGTCTTTTTTTTATTCGGCTAGTGTTTTTTTTTTCATTGCTCCTTTCGTAATTTCTGTCTCTTTTTGTACCTTTCTTGGGGTAGATCTCTATCAAATTGATAATTCGCAAAAGTGAAGATTTCTTATGTTGGAAAATTGTTTCTTAATATGTAATATATGTCATTTCCTTTGAATGTAAATGCCAATTGTTTCCAATAAACATTCACGTAATGCGTGTAGACCTCATCGAAATCGTGCAACAACTTCTTGTTATATAATTGTTTTTATTTTTTTGAATTGTTTTAAAAGTAAAATATTGGTTTTAGCTTCCGAATCCATATCTTTATCCATCCCTTTGCAGTGGATACATATTGAAATAAGAATCGTTGGTATAATTACAAACGAGACTAGGCACCCTCCAACATTGCAAAAATTGGATAACACTGCACCACAATAAAACTATTGGCTTCAAGAAGACTCGATCGCTCACCTATCTATTTTGGACAAAATTGATACAAAAAAAAAATAAATGCTAAAAAATAATTTCCAGAAAAAACGCCAAAACAGAAATACAATCCTTCATAGTATATCATTAAATACATATATAAAATCGAAACACTCCTTTAATGTGTAAACTGAGGATTTCGGCCATTTAATTTATTTGTAGATCATTTTCTGCTGATAACATTTGGCTTTTTTTAGTTTTCTTTTTCTACTGAAATCGAAAAAATGGCAAAAATCCTCATAAGAAGTCGTCTGACTGCAGTCTATATAAATAGTTGGTATTTTTGACATTCTGAAAATTTTTCTATGTTAGATTTTCTTTATTTATAATGATTTACAAGATTATAGACAATACTAGAATTTAACACGTATGTTCTATTTTAAGTCTTGGCACCCATGATTGTTGGTAGGCAGGATCATCGGACATTTTTTGTAAACTAGATACCATCAGAATGATTGTGGCTTAGTTTGGTTTCATTTGGTCAAGCAGTTTCAGAGGAAAATTTTTTTTGTAAAAGTTAACGAACGACGACAGACGCCAAGAACCAATCAGTATTGTATGTTAATATGCATTGAGGGAAAAATATGAATATAGTAGAAGTTATACAGGCTTATTAACATCATTACACACAATTTCATAAACAATTTTATAACTACAGTATTAAATAAAATAGGTCATATATTCAAATTCAACGCCCAACCATGGAGAATCCTCCTGGACAGGGCTTATTTTCGTCACTAATAAGGACAACCTTTTGCGAACAAGGTCCATCAGGTACCACTTTACAATCAGCAGGTTTGCTAGAGATGCGCATGCCGATACTGAAAGAAACATTATAGTTTTATACATGTGAATTAACTCATCATATATACAAGAATTAAAATTTTGAACGTCAGACCCGCGTTTCGTCTACAAAAGACTCATCAGTGTTGCTCTAATCAAAAACAGTTAAAACTAGTTAAACAGGCCAGATAAAGTACGAAGTTGAAGAACATTGAGGACCTTAAATTCTGAAAGGTTCTGCTCAATACAGCTTAGGTTATCTATTCCGATATTTGATGCTTTAGTATAAATAAACAGTTTCCATGTTATAACAGGATACCTTACCATCGTTCGTGACCGAGAGTTGAAATCATTCCTCAGTAAAGGACCTTAATATCTCCCCCGTCAATTATTAATTGGAATGAGTGTCGTAATATCATCCACGACTCACTCCGTACTTACTGCTCGAAAAGGATTAAATGGATAAAACGAGAAAAAGCTGACAAGAAATCCTTAGATTCTTTTTTAATTCAGTAATGAACATAGTTGATATACGTATACAACATGTTAAAGAACATTTTACTCTTAACAACAACCATAATAACCCTATTTCTCATATAAAACATAAGATAAAAGAACTCGCCAAGGAATTTGTTTTTGTCCGGGTGATAAGGCTGCTAATAATATCATTATTGTTTGACTTAAATTTTACATTGAGTTTCTGCAAAAGGAAATCTCGAATTCACCAACATTCCAACTGACTCCATTTTCGGAAAATTACATCTGTACCAAACATAAACATTTAGCTACTTCTTTGCAAGCAAAACCAAATACAATGAAAGTTCCAACCATGTACTGGCTTCCGAAGCTGCACAAAACAACTTACAAATATAAATTAATTTCGTCTTCAAGCCATTGGTCCACTACTAAACTGTCTATTCTACTTACTAGTACACTTGGTAAAATCAAAATCATGATACTAGTAATAAATTGTTAAGATAAGGCCTTTGAAAATAGTGGAATTAATTACTTCTGGAGTGTCAAAAATTCGTTGGAAGTACTTGATAAATTGCATGCTTATATTGTTGATTTTGAATCTGTTCAAAGATTTGATTTTGCAACCCTATATACCATTTTGTCTCATAATCTTATTACGATAAAATCCACACACCTAATTAAATGGGCTTTTAAAAAGTCAGAATGCGAATATATATGTTCAAACTCTTTTAGGTCATTTTTAGTAACAACAAACAAAAGAACTATGTCAATTGGACCTGCCTTGATACTATAACTGCCCTTGAATTTTTACTAGATAATATTGTCCGCTTTATAGATTCCGTTTATCGTCAAATTATCGGAAATCCAATGGGGACTAACTGTGCACAACTTATTGCAGACCTGTTTCTGTATTGTTATGAGTTACAATTTATGACTAAAATCAGCAAAGACCCATCGAAACAACATCGGATACAAAAATTTAATATTAGTTTTAGATATTTGAATGATATATTGGCTCTCAACAATGACGACCTCAGTATTTAAACTAAAAAGATTAATCGTGCTGAACTGACTTTAAATCAAGCTAATACTAACAATGAACACTGCCCTTTCCTTGATCTTGATATCTATATATTTTTAACGGGAAGCTTAATACCAAAAATTATGATAAAAGAGATGATTTTTTATTTCCTATTGCTAATTATCCATTTTTAGATGATGACGTTCCCTTGGCACCATCTTATGGTGTTTATATATCCCAACTTGTTCGATTCGCTCGTGTATGTAACAACGTGTTTGATTTCAACGAAAGAAATCCATGTTTTACTGAAAAATTATTACACCAGGGTTTTCGATATCACAAACTAGTCAAAACATTTACTAAATTTAATCATCGGTACAAGGACATCATTCGTAAATATAAATCAACATTCAGAGACATATTATACGTTTAGTTTATTTCACATCCAATCTTTTATGGTAATATTCTTTACAAAGCACAAAAAATGTCGGCATTCACCTCAAAAGCTAACAAAACCTTTAAACAGACTTATTAAGAAGGGATATAGTTACGATACTGTTGTCAACAGCCTGTGGCCTTTGTTAGTCTTGTATGATTTTTAGTTTTAGTTCATTTATATGTTTTGCAGTTTAGTTTGACGTCCATTATCACTGAACTAGTACACAGTTTTGTTTAGGAGCCAGCTGAAGCACGCCTCTGGGTGCGGGATTTTTTCGCTGTGTTGAAGACCCATTGGTGGCCTTCGGCTGTGTTCTGCTCTTTGGTCGGGTTGTTGTCTCTTTGACACATTCCCCATTTCCATTCTCAATTTAATTGTGCTAGTGAAGGTATTTGACAGGGGTGGTTTTCAGGTGGTAAAAATTGTTTATCAAAATATATAAAGCACAAAGTTAAAAACGAACAATAGGTGACGGAAGACAGATAAAGTTGTATATTTGTACAAAATGTTAATACTACATATATCCCGAAATATAATCATCATTTAATGTTATCCGAAAATGAAAATGAACATTTTTATTCATTTAAGTTTTGATATTTTAAAAAATACTGCGAAATTGATTACTCGCAAACCAATCAACTGTATAAAATTCGAGGTAACAAGTGCATACACAGTAAAGTATAATTAATTGTCGAAATGAAACCAATATGACACATAGAAAAACAACTTACGAGCAGCATTGCATGTTTCCTTTACTACAGCTACAGCTAATACATTTTTCGGTATAACTTTTATCATCTTTTATTATTCTTCCTTTGTAGATACAATCTAAAGAATCTTCTTCAATCATGTAAAGCAAAGTATTCAACTTATAGTAATATGAAGGTACAACTCAAATAACGAAGTTGAAGTGCATGTAAAACCAAACATTTCAGAAACATTTTTTGCCTAGGTGTTAAATCTCAATCTTTCACTGAAATCAATTTAATTAAAACTTTTGATTTTTCAACCCTGTATACCACAATTCCCCATGTGAAATTGAACAATCGTCTAAAAGAAATAATCCACAATGTTTTTCAATATAAAAATGGTAGCATACGCTATAAATTTATTGCTTTGGGATACACAACGGCATATTTTGTAAAAAGCGAACAAAAAGGTAAAACATGCTACACAGAGGAACAAATGATCGGTATGCTGGAGTTTCACAATTTTTCAACAAGTTGGCATTCCTTTGGGAAGGAACTGTGCACCTTTCCTTTCCAACCTCTTCTTATTTTCATATGAGTCGGAGTTCCGTCAGACACTTATCAAAATCAAGAAGATCAAAGAAGGCAGATCATTTAATTTCAAATTCAGTTGTATTGATGATGTTCTTTCCATTAACAATCAAAACTTTTCTGATTGGGTTCCATTAAGGATGTACACCTCTGAGGAGCCAGAAATTTCTAGAATTAAACTTTTTTTCTTAACCTAATTTTTGGGATTATATAACTGTAAAAATATAATTGGTGAAGAAAAAATTATATGGTGGTGCACTTCTTTTTTTTGCTACTGCCATTTGAAAGTATCAAATTTGATGATTTTCCTATGTTTCATAAATTTTTACCCTTTTTTGGGCTATTATCATGAAAAAAATCACAGTTTCACAATTTGTTTTCATACTTTCTCTAAAACCAAAATGGACCAATCTGAATAAATTTAACATTACAAAAACTATGGGTAGGTGTTAATATAAGAAAAGTTTTATATTTTTTTTTTGCTTTTTCGTGTCAAAATTACCATGTTGTCAATTTTGTAAATTTGGGATTTTTCTCTTTTTTTAGAACAAAAAGCATATTATTTCAACTTCTTATAAATGATTGAAAAAATACATAGCTAAGAAATTTGAAAAGAAAAAATACATATGGAATGTCTATGTATCTGGTAAAATCATTTCTTGTACCCCTCACCCATTTTCTCAACATTTTGGCTAATGAGAATGACTTGATTGGTAATAAAATTTGAAAATTTTATTACTCAAAAACTACTTATTGTAAAAACACAATTTTTTTCATAGGGTTAAGTTTGATGATAATATATTTTAAATTCATTGATATTTTCCACTTGTATCACATGTTTTGGAAATAATTCCAGAACAGGATTTCAACGAGACTGAAACGTCAGAACAATACATCCTTAATATATCCTGCAGAACTAGAAACTAAAGAAACAACAGACACGGCTTCATCCGCCTTATTTTTGACTTACATCTCGAATTTGACGTAAGTGGTCATCTCAGGACAAGAATCTATGACAAACAAGACTATTTGAATTTTGAAATTATGCTACTCAGACTTTATAAAACGTCACCAGTGTCTGCGCAGAAAGATGATAAACCAGGATTATGTCAAAGAACGTATCGTTCTTTTTCTAAAAATGTTCATCGGAAGATACCAATACCTTGTTGATAAATATTCCGTATCAACTTCACAAATAATACATGATGGTCTTGAAGTATAGATTCTAGGTACTGAAGTTGTTTATCATCCTAATTACGTGTTATAATGTTCTTTTAATTTGTCTTTGTATATTTTTAACCTTTACTGTTTAGTCCATTTTTTGTAATATACTTTTGGCGTGGCTAGGTCTTTATACACCCGCCATTGTGTCATTGTGCTATGGCAATTTTTGTATTCTTTTTTTCATTTTTACTTATGTACTTTGTCTATAGAGTGTCTTTATGCCATATTGTTTTTCTTTGTTGAAATAGTTATTTGTTTTATTTGATTAAGATTATATCACAATGTTGATTGCTGCACCCCAATTGTTTTACATTTTTACCTATTATGTCTATTTGTTTTGCACACACATTGTTGTCAATATAAAGAAATTCCTGTACCAAGTCAGAAATATGAGAGTTGTTTTCTCTTCGTTTGATGTGTTTGAGATTTTGATTTTGCCATTCGATAAAGGACTGTATGTTTTGAATTTTCCTTGGAGATTCGGACTTTTTGTTATTTTACTTTTTACTTAATCAAAGATCAAGGTTCTCAATGCTCTTCATCTTAGCCTTTTTGACTTTTTTACTTGAGAGTCACTGATGTGGTGTTCGTAGACGATACGCGCGTCTGGCGTACAAAAATTTACGCCTGGTATTCATTTTTTTTTAGTTTATTTACTTTTTCCTTTGTTCTCGACCAGATATCCGTTAAGACGATACGACAACAATTAATGTGCAAGTGTGTCCTCTGGTTCATTTATCAAAAGAACAACACAATTTGATTTATGTTTTTCTGTAAACTTTCGTAATAACCAGTTATATTTAAAAAAAAAACACTGATTTTTATAGTTTGTTCTTATGTTGTGCTGTAACACCACTGTCCCAGGTTAGGGGAGGGTTGAGTGCTCACAAACATCTTCAAACCCGTCAAATTTTTATGTGCCTGTCCCAAGTCAGAAGCTTGTAAATCAGTGGTTGCCGTTGGTTTGTGTCTGTCATATTTGTTTTCCGTAAATTGTTTTGTTATAAATAAAGTTGATAGTTTTCTTAATTGAATTGTTTCATATTGTTTATGTCGAGGCTTTTTATAACCGATTATACGGTATGGGTTTTTCTCATTTTTGAAGTCCGTACGATTGCCGATAAATGCTTACATCCACTTCATTTTCACTTTGGTGTCTCAGCAATCATACCCCATCTCCTTATGTTTATATTGGTTGATGTTCTAATCATAATGTATATTTATGTGACTAGCACACCTGATCAGTTGCTGTGAGGGTAAACTCATGTACTCTACTATCCGTAATGAATTTTCGACATATAATAATTACTTGAGGAAACATTCAAAATGTTATACTATACAGACAAAAATATATTGAAAAATAAATTTTTATCATTTTTCAGAAATATCAGAGTGGTATTGTGATCTGTATATTACTTCAGTCAGAATTTTATTTGCACAGAAGTTGCACTTGCTTATATCGCCAACACTATCTGGCTTAAAGTGGCATAAGAGAGAGAGTCGAAGGATACCAAAGGGACATTCAAACTCATAAGTAAAAAGAAAACCGACAACGCCATAGCTAAAAATAAAGACAAACAGACAACCAACAGTAAATAAAACAACATAGAAAACCAAAGACTGTGGAACACTTACTCCACCAAAAACTGGGGGTGATCTGAATTTTGTTCATTTTTCCGAAATAACAGAGTGGCATTGTGATCTGTATATTAGTTCAGTCAGAATTTTATTTGCACAGACATTGCACTTGCTTATGTACCCAACACTGACTGCCTTAAAGGGGCATAAGAGAGAGAACGGCGAAGGATACCAAAGGGACATTCCAACTCATAAGTCGAAAATAAACTCAAACGCCATGACTAAAAATGGAAAAGACAAACAGACAAACAACAGTGCACAACACAACATAGAAACCCAAAGACTAAGGAACACGAACCCCACCAAAACTATGGGTGATCTCAGGTGCTCCAGAAGGGTAAGCAGATCATATTCCACATGTGGCACCCGTCGTGTTGCTCATGTAAGTACAAACACGATGATATGTCTAATTCGGTAGATCAAATTCTAGGGAGGGGAAGAGATTGCAGTTACGACAATTGGAACATATCCGTCGTCATCTGTGAAACAGATATGCCATAACAGTCAACCAATTCGTGATGACGTCCGTAAAATTTAAGAAGGGATTCAATTTCACCGCTTGGAACTCTTGGTTTAATAGCTTCCTTGTGAGCAGCAACTCTTTATCAAGGAAATCATGATAGGAAACACAAGCTTAAAAATATCGTATCAACTGGGAGATATATATACTTCGCATGCAGGCGCTGCTGGAATGTTGCTACATAGAAATGGAAAGTTCACAATTTGGAAGCTGAAATCATCTCTTTTAACGTAACGTTTTGTTTTCAACCGACCCACATTGTCAATTGCTTGATGTAGTTCAAGATATGAGGCAAACTTAACTGTATCTGTTATATCGTTCATCTAAAGTTCGATGGGATAGATGCGTTCAACATAGTCATCAAATTGTGAATTATTTAGTGATAGAACATCATCTATATAGCGGAAAGTGAAATTAAAGGATACTACTAACTTCTTTTCTTTCTTTCTAAGAAGTTTCTGTATGAAGTCAGCCTTATATGAATAAAGGAACACGAAGGCAAGAACAGGAGCACAGTTGGTTCCCATAGGAATGCCGATTGTTTGTTGAAAAACACTTCCTCCAAACGTAACAAATATATTGTCAATAAAGAGATCAAGCATCTTGATAATGTCTATTTCATTTTTTGTTTTTGAATCAGAGTGATTTTTTACATAAGCTGCAAAATGTATATGTTTGAATCAGAGTGATATTTTACATAAGCTGCAAAATGTATGTGTTTAAGATACTTTTTAACGTACTAACGCTTATCCATTGTATCTATATAAATGATAATTCATGTCTTTGTAGGCTAAACAAAGAAATAAATTAAGATGATTGAGAACCAAATTCCGAAAGGTTTTGCCAAAGACAGCTTAGGTAATCAACTCCTTTTGTAGAACATCCTTAGTATTTCGAAAAATTCAAAGTGTTATAAAAATTTTAGAAGTAAATCTGATTGTAACTTCTGAAAGAAATGGTCGTAACTTCGAACGTTTCTTTTTACGAAGTCAACCAGTATTAGGTAATTCGGATAACTCAAGCAAGGTATCCATGCGTATTTGCATATATGTAACATGAAAATCTTAACCAGTTTTACTGATTGTGCCATTCATAGATGTATAAGAAATGGCAGATGATACCAATAGGACACTAAAAATAGATAAGTCGAAGATCATTTTAGTGTTATATAAAACACCCTTATTTCATCTACACGAAGGGTACTTCCATAATGTTTGCAACTTTCAACATTTTTACGCAATATCGACCCAAAAAACCTATTTGATCTTTGTAAAATATATTTTCTGAACATTCTTTTTTAAAATAAAAATAATTAGTTGATCGTTATTGTAGTAACTACGATATACTGTTACTGTTGTGATGTATGATATTAGTTGCAGCGTAGATATGAAAGTGTAGTGAATGATACATTTCTTCTGTTTAAAGGGTTTTTGCGCTTACAGAGAGGTGTCTATTTCGTTGACGAAAATAATTTTTAAAAGCTGAAGATCCATATAATATGTGAGTTTTAATACAATTACAATTTTAAACTGTTTCAAAAGTAAAATGAAATCTAAAAGATAAAAACTCAGTTTGTGTTATGGTCATTATGATCACCATCATTATAACTTAACTTAAAAATGAATTATTACAGTTTACCTTTTGGCGGAATCATAAAACAAGACCCATCTACGGTTGAAGTCAGCCCTACGATAAGACAAAGCACAAACAGCAGAAGGTGCATCATATTGCGAAAAAGTTTTAAGCAGATATCAAAGATGAGTGCTGCTAAGTATTTATATATCCGGAAAAGTAATTGCTTTAAAAAAAAACTTAATCGACTATAATATCAGAATTACGTGTTAGTCACCATCAAGTTAGAAAAGCATTTGTATTGATGTTTTGAACAAATCAACCTATACACATCCTGGACACATGTTCATAGATCGCTATCAATTGTAAATTTTGCATGCTGAAATGTATTTGTTGAAATTTAATATACATGTAACATATGTTGTATTTTTAATCGTTATATACCTTATTGTTGTATAAACATTATAAATAGGAAAGAAGATACCATTATGAATAACAAATATCTGTAATCAGTGACTCATTTATTCCAAATTGAATTGGTAAAAATAGTTATCTTCGCGTAAGAAAGGGTTGCTAGTTTTCCTGTACTTTTATGTTTTCATTTGTTAAGGATATTATGTATTGCATTATAAAGGCGTCTAGACTGTACACGAACTTAATAACCTAATCATTATAAGACTGTGTCTTATTTGATTTTGGTTTCTTGGTCCTTGTATATATATCAGGTTCTTGGTTTTTCTTAATGTTTTATATTTTTGTCAAGCCGGGCCTTTGTTGTTTACTTACGTTAAAGTGTTTGCTCATTTTCGAAAACTGAACAGTCCCCTATAGTTTGTACGAGAGATGCGCGTTTTGTCCTCATATGACTCAGGGTCGATGCCACTGCTGCTGGAGATTTTCTAACCGAGGGTATCACCAGACTAGTAGTCAGCACATTTGCCTTGACACGAATTATCATTGATATGGTCATAAATCATTGCACAAGTCATGTCTTTTTTGACTGTCCATGACGTTAAAATAATAAATCCCTGGAATGTGTTTTAGTTGATTTTAGTCTCTGATGCATGATTTTTTATTAATTGTTTTCGGCTTTTAATTAGCTGTCAGTAACTGCGAGTACTCTCAAATCGTACTTACTTGTCTATGACCTGTTGATACTAATTGTAATGCTTTTTTGTTATTTAATGTTATTCAGGGTTATATCTGATCTATATACCAGCTTCGATAAGTGTTTGGTATTACTATAAAGTTTCACTAACATCAAAATTATTTATTTTGTAAAAATATTTCCTTTCTCTATTTGAACTGTACACGTATACCTAACAACATAATTATTTTTATTTACCTGTGTTTAAATTAATTGCAAATGGCTGATATTTTTGTTCTAGTTTATTGTTATTCTTAAATTGTTTAACATTTCACAGCGGTATAACATGTTACTTTAATTATTCTTCCCTTAGTTTATTTATTTTGTATTTGCATTGTATCATAGATCAAATTTATGTGTTCAGTGTATGTTCAATGGTGTTAATATGTCTTTTGATTGAGTTAAGCCATTTCAATTGATATTTTATAGTGTGTTTTTCGATGTTGTGATGTTACACTATTGTTTCAGATAAGGGTGAAGGTTTGGTACCATTAAAACGTTTAAACCAGGTGCAATTGTTTGCACTTGTCCTAAGTCACGAATCTGATGTTCAGTAGTTGTCGTCTGTTGATGTGGTTCATGAGTGTTTCTCGTTTCTCGTTTTTTATATAGATTAGACCGTTGGTTTTCCCGTTTGAATGGTTTTACACTAGTAATTTTCGGGGCCCTTTATAGCTTGCTGTTCGGTGTGAACCAAGGCTCCGTGTTGAAGACCGTACTTTGACCTATAATGGTTTACTTTTATAAATTTTGACTTGGATGGAGAGTTGTCTCATTGACACTCATACCACATCTCCTTATATCTATATAATTATAAATTAACTGTCTAAAAGACTTTGGATTTTTCGAAATACTAAGGATTTTCTACCACCGTTGAATAGATTACCTTACCTTGGCAAAACTTCTGGGTCCTCAATGATCTTTAACTTCGTACTTTATTTGGTCGTTTTAACTTTTTAGATTCGAGCATCCCTGTCAGAATGCTGGATGTACAAAATACCGAGACACGTCGTATAACAATGCAAATTCACACTCGGTATAACAATCATATTCGGGAATAGTACACGTTCGGTACTTAGCAGACATACGACATAGATGTTAAACCACAATCTAAGATGTGGTAAAAATGTTAGTTTAAACACAGACACATCGTATAGATCAACCAATTCGTGATGGTGTCCATAAAATATACGGAGTGTCATTTTTAATCTTTCCTCCTCATAACTCTGTTGGAGCAGTTTGTGCGTAAGGAGCACACTCCTGTATATGAAGTCAGTATAGTAATAAAATAAAATGTGTAACCCATTTGAACAATGGTATTCTAATGAAATCGTTAAACAGTTGGATGGAAAAGAAATTGTCGATACCAAAAATGAACTTATTGTTAATTTGTCGCTTACAGGATTAGCAAAATGGTTAGTACAGATGTCCCAACACATAAAATCCGGATATTGTCCGTAGTGGATTCAATGAAACAGGTACTAGTGGCGCCTTGGGTGGTTATCTTGAAGACGAACTTCCGCTATCAAAAAAGTCACGAGAATTAAAGAAGTATCTGTAAATATTTTACAATTCAATAAATGTGTTTTAACTCAAAGTGGTTTCCATTTACCAAATGTATTTATTTTTACAATCAAAATAATCATTTCCTTTAATGTCTTGTATTTATACAGAACTACAGCAAAGATATGATTCAAACGTTTTCTTCCAGTCAATTTTTACCACTTTTTAACGGCAATCATTTCAGTATCCGCCAAAATATTTTATTGGGAATTATGAATCCTCCAAAATAAAAATCGACAAAATTTTTCGTATACTTTGTTGCCCCTAAATCGCGAAATTTCACACCCGCGAAAAAAAACGCTTAACGGCATGTCTATAGTTGGAGACTATTTCGACCTCTACATGCTACATGTATATTGTTTAAACTGTGTCTTTGATTGCTAGATGTCATTGACGTATATCCCACATCCATGTTATGAAACAAATGTCAGACTGCTGCATTCATCACGATTTGATAACGTGAATTCGAACATAATCATTCATTATTATTCTCAAAAATATTTAAAAAAGTAACGAAATATTTGAAATTTACAATTAAATAATCGTCACTTTATAAGTCTGTAAAGTACAGATAAACATACTATATTGTCATATTGGTCCACTTGCGCAATTCATTTCAAGTAGGCAGTAATGGTACTCTTTTCCTCAATTCCTTTGCCCATGTCGTAAACCTGGATATGTATGATGGCTGTTTTCGAAGCTGAGACATTTTTACATATGTGGTTAAATTTTCGGGGACGGAAGTGAGACTCGTTTTTCAGTAATTTAGCAAAAGCCCCTTGTGATGCGGCCTCTCGAGGTACACACAATAAGATTTTGGAAAATTTAGTTCTTTACATACATTTAAAAACTTGATAGACTTTACATCTTTATTCTTCAGTCATCAGCTCTTCGAATCAGCACAAATGGTTAAGTGCAGTCACTTGTTAAGAATTGAAACATGTTCAATATCTCTGCGTAGAGATGTTTTTGTTAACGAACTATTGTTGAGTTCCTCACTTTGAAGCGCATTATGGATATTATTCCATATGATGTATTTTAAAAACCAGTAGTTCTGTAATGATAGATACTTTTGACATATTAATTGATTCCTTGATACAGTAGTTTTTGGTAAAATTAGAGTAAATGGTGCTACATGAACGGTTTTGTTATGCTTTCAATACTTTTTGATGATAGGTCTATTATAGTCTTGTAAGTATCAAATAACATTAAAAAGGCTAGCTGCATACTAACATCATGTAAATAGATATCAACTTCTTGCGATCTTGTCTTTTTACAGAGGATGACCTTGAGGTCACTCCGATGTATTGCTATCGCCTAAATTTCCATTATGCAAATTAGTTTTGGGATTTCAACCGATCTATAAAAATTATAGATCCGCGGTCATTACAAGGGAAAAAAGTGCATTTTTATACCTGCGATTCCGTTCTCCGTTCGTACGATGTTTCATCAAAAAATGGAATCATTTCAGTTGTTGATTTAGTACTGAAAATTTGACTGAATTATCTCCTTATTAAATACGGTTTTATATGTTTAATAGGTGTTTAAGAAAGAGGTCAGGTGCTCATGTTCATTCATAAAATTATCGTTCATTCATGAATTTATCGTAAAATCAAAATCACTACACAGGTCACACAGGTTGTATACGTAGGTGTCAAAAGATTACCTGTATAGTATCTAAAAATAGACAAACTTAACTGACTCCCCTTACTGTAGTGTGTGATAACATTTTGTGAGGGAATTCGATGTTTGCTATACCACTGTTCATTTCAACGCACTTTATGACGATACCACTTTATCAATATGAATGAAACTTTTTGCAGTGTTTTAAGAAATAATTTTACTTTAAAATCGCGTATCATTTGTGAACTATTGAATGCTTTACAAGGACGAATTTTCTGTATAAAGTCAATAATTGTGTGAACTTTTGAAGCCCAAACTTTTTATAGCCTTAAATACGCTAATGAAAGATCCGAAAACTATACCCATACAGAACGACATGTTTTTGAAATTGTAGCAAAACTTTTGGTTGACAAATTTTAATTCGTTATTGCATAAATATTAACTTGAAATATCTGTCATTTTCTCCCTACCCAGTTTACCTCTATTACTCATTATGATGTGGACTTGACATTGTTATTGAATCTTATGCAATTTGATTGGATTAAGTTATTATTAGATTACCTTCAAACTGTTCATGCTTTTTCGTACGAGTATATTGATTAAATCAGAGCGTGCATGAATGTGTAGAGAAAATTAAATGACCTGCAAACTGGACACTGGACCAGTCCATATTACGTTTTATCAATGAATAGATTTTTTTTTTATTTCCCAAATTACAGGGCCCATAAAGGGCATAAAATCAGATACAATTGATTTACATAATTGGTAACAACAACAATAATAGCGGCTTATAAATAGATATTTAGTATATAAGAATTGGTCAGAATCAGATGAACGAAACTTAAGGTATGAAAGGTAACAATTGCCACTTTTTATCTTTTCACATAATTTTCCACATACATATATAGTTATATGTTTCAGCACATGTAT